TAATCATTTTTTATATACTAAATATAAAATATAATAAAAAATAATTATTGAATATAGTGATTGTAATAAATTTCTCAATTAATTTCACATAATTTTTGTCATGCATAATATTATGATAGAAAATCATATTATTTTGATTTTTTTTTTATAAGGCTAAAGTATTTTAGCTATTTAGTGCTATTTTTAATTTATATGGTTATTTATTATTTATTGCTATTTTTAATAATTTTTAATTTATTTGGTTAGATACATTTAATATTTAAAGTAATAGTTCAATTAACAACAAAATTGACAATTTACTGAAAATATTCAAAATATAAAATATCAAACGAAATCACGAAACAAATTTATGAAAAAAAAAAAATAATAATTGCCTATACATGTTAACTATGTTAAAACTATGTTAACATATATATATTAATTAATATATGTTAATTAATATATATGTTAACTAGATTATTCATTTCAATATGTAATTTATAAAACATTTAGAAAATAGAAAATTTATTAACAATATAATATTTTATCATATAGCGAATATAAAAATTTATTATGTAAGAGAATAAAAAAATTTTTCAATTGTCGAGAAATAATTAGGTTAAATTAGATATTATAATCGAATATTTAACACTTAATTTACTTAATAAAAATAATAGATATTATTTATATTTAAAAATGAATGATATTGTATTAGAACTATTCGAACTAACAAAAATTTTCCTTAAAGAATATATTTTAAAAAAAATTATTATTCGTTCGTTTATAATTACTTATATAACTTATAAATCTAATTAATTCTAAAATAATTTTATTATTTGATAAATTTAATTAAAATAAATAATATTTGCTTTAAAATTTCTTTATCTTTTATATTTTGTAAATAAAATAAAATATTTTTTTAAAGCTTTTTTTAAGAATTTGTAAAGCTTATTTTATCCATTATTATTAATTTGAACAGAAAAATATATATTATATTAAATAGTTACATAAACTCAGAATTTCATAATTTTTTGAATTACTGGATTGAAGAATTTTTCATATCATTGAATGATTTTTCATACTTCTTATAGAATAATATTGTGAAACACAAAAGTAATATTATTTCAAATATATAATGGATTTATTAAGAAATATATAAATAGTTTGAAAACTACTATAACATAACATAGAAAAAAATATATATAAATATATTAAGAAAGACATATTTGATCGTAATGATATATATTTTATAATTTTGAAAAAAAAATGTAAAAATCATTATAGTTTAAATTAAATATTTTTCATTAAATATTCTTATAACTAATATCAAATCATATTTTTAATTAATATTCATATGTATATTTTGCATGAATTAATAAAAAAAAATTCTATAAGTTGTCAGTATTAGCATTCGATATACATTACACATGTTATTGTTTCAAATAACGATTTTTCTGCGTAGTTTATTCTTTATTTATTTAATGTATTGACATTATAATATTACAATTTTAACTTTTATATACTATTTCAGTTTTCTAAATTTCAACAATCAGTATAAGAAATAATTTAGACTTAATATCATTTATTTATTAAAAAATAGTTTTCACAATACAATAAATAATAAAATTAGTTTTATTTAATTTATTATATAAAAAGTGAAAACTTGCACGTCATCCAAAAAAAGTTATATGTTATCCAATTAAATCAAAATTTTATCAGTGATAAAAAGAAAAATATAGAATGAACATACAAAATAAATTGCGCAAAAAAAATCATATAAACAATAATATCATACAGTATACAACAAATAACATTAAACTAAATAGCTTATCAAATTTAGCTCAATATCTTATATCTCAATATTATATGATAATTATATATTTGCTTATTATAAAATATAGATTTTTAAAAATAAAAATAATAAAAAAATAATAGAAAAAAAATAAAAAAATTTTTAAATAAAAATTCTTATTTAAAAAATGAAATGTTAAAAATTAAATCTTTATAAGATTTTCTAAAGTTAACGCGAGGTCAAACGTATCATTACAGTATGTCTCAAATCATACAAAATTTATCTAAAATATTTTTCTGTATCAAGCATAGTTTATGAAATATTTATAAACATTTTCATATGAAACGAACATTCTATATTTAAACTATATATAATAATATATATAATATATAATAATCTATATATAAACTCTATATTTCTGGTTAAAATTAGTTTATAACAAAATTCAAATATCAATTTTAATCATTACAAATTCAAATATCAAATTCTTTTAGGTGTTTAACTCAAGATATACATTTTTTATACTCTTTGAAAATTACGTTGCTTATAGGCTGTTAAACTATGAAACAAAATTTTTTAATAAATTTTATTTAAAAAAAGTATTTTTAAAAAAATATCTTTAAAAAAAGTTTTTTTAACTATAAACAAATTTCTAAAAATAAAAAAAAAAAGAAAAAACAATCCAAAGCAATTTTCTTTATATTCATAGTTCACTATATGTATTTACATTATATTGTATTTATACAATATATAATACAAAATACAGTATATTGTATTTATAATACATTTTATATTTCTAATTTATTCAAAAAATATTTTATTTCTATTCTTTAATACATGTACTATATATTACTTATTTATAAGCAAATATATAATATTAAATTGAGGCAAAAGACAAAGTTTTTTCAATTTTTTATTAATTCACGAAAGTGTAAATTAGAATTCAATCAATTTAGAAAATAAAAAATGAATTCGTTTGCATAAATAATTATAATATAATTGATATTATTAATATAATATAATAGTATTATTAATGTATAATTAAATAATTAATTGAACTTATTATTAATACTACATAATTTCAAATAAATATTTAAAAATGTTATTTTATTTATTGATTATGTAAATAAATGACTGAAATTTATACGAAAGCTAAAGCAAATTTAAAAACGTGTCTATTAAAAATTAAAAATTAAATTTAAATAAAAATTGTACATTATATATTTAATATGAATAAAATTAAATTTTATCAATAATTTTTAAATGATTTTTACATAACTCAGGTTATCAAAAGTATTACAAAAATAAAAATTAATTTTTTTAGAAATTAAAAAGATTATTTTTTGCAAAAGATTAAACATGATGCAATTAACATACAAAAATTCTACAATATTTTTTTTACTTGTTTATTTTTTTAAACCTTATAAAACATTTTAGTTAATTTTAAAATTATTATTATAAAATATAATATTATTTTTTATAAAAAATATAAAAATATTCATATTTTTTTCAAAGGAAATTAGTTGTAAAAGAAACAATCTTCATTGTTTTTTATTTCATAAAGACACTTAATTTGTATTGTAATAATTTAGAAGAATTTTGGAACAATAAAAAAAGAAAACATAAAAATTCAACTTACTTATGAAGAACTGCTTGCCACTGACCCTGTCCGTGATCTGGTGTAGGGTAGTTTATGATTTGCAATCTTGTTTTGACACGGAGTTCGTTAAGCATATCGTCAATGTCAAAAACAAAAGGTTCTTGTCCGAAGTTTGCATCAACTACTTCTCCTGGTGTTTGAAGGCCCACCGTTGGATATAAATTTGGCTATAAAGTGATGACTGATTATTAACAAATTTTTTTTTTAAATTTTTCTTATAATATATTAAAATGAAAAATTTGTAAGTAATTTTTAAGAGAGAAAAAAAAAGATATATTGATATATATTATTAAGAAAGAAAGAAATATATAAAAAATAAAAAAAGAATAGATTAGAATATGTCTCAATAATGCACTATGATTATATCAAAATATTATCAAAAAAATTGCAAAAATAATTGTAAAAAATTTAAAAGAATGTAGCTTACATTTAAATATCTATAAAAAATATTAAAAACTTTATCAAGATTTTAATGAGACTTATTACTTACCGGAAGATCAGTGAATGCAATACCAAGATGATGTCCATTTTTCGTGTAGAAGGCAGTGTTATCTACAAGATTTACACCACAACCAATTACATCTCCTGTAGTGAACGTGGGTCCATATGGTTGACCAGTTCCAGAAGAACAGAAACTGTGTCCATCGTCGCCGTGGTATCCGTATGAATGTTTGTCCCAGCCTGGCAACCTGTTCACGTTTACTCCGTGAGCAGATAGACCAATTCCCATATAACCATCTCTGCCTTTACTGACGATCTTCACTTCGAAATAATAGAGACCACAAGCAGCTGGTATACAATGCGTTGTACGTACACTTGCTGCATCTTTATGAGTTTTTCCATAACCTAAAATAATATATATGCATATATATATGTTATTATTTATGAATTTTATTAATAAAAATAATTTTAAAAAATCTTATAACAAAAAATAGAAAGTAATATAAAAATAGATTTAAAAAAATAAAAAATAAAATTTAAGATAATTTGTTAATGAAATTCTATATATGATGAAACAAATTACAAATTATATTAATTATTAAATATATATTTAATATTATTTATTAAACGTATATATATAAGAGAAACTATAATAAATAAATAAATAATATATAATAATATAAATTTCTATTTTTTTATATATATAGAATATTAATATATTCATAAGATATATTTAAAGGCTTAAATAATCTATTCTAATATTAATAATATTTCCTAGAACCAAAATTCATCAAACAGAAATTTATTTATTAAATTATTTATTTATTATTTATTAATTTAAAATATTAATACATAAAAATATTTATTAATAATAAAACTTTTTTTAAATTATAAGCAATTTAAGTGTTGATAAATGAAACAAAATGAAAATAGAGATTTCATTTTGTCTCCACTTGCTGTCGCACAGTATTTTCAATTCGCGAAAATAAATTTATTAAATTGCTTATAATTTAGTAAACAAGCTTCAATTGAAATATTTGTAAAATATAAGTACGGTGGTATTTCTGTATACGAAATTTTATATTTTAATCTTTATAATCAATATGAAAATTATGGATCTTATATTGATCTTTCTAATTAATCTATTTTTTTCAAATATATTTTAATATAATATTATATATAATATAATGTAAATATAAATGTAAAATATAGTTGTATTTGTTTCTATATTTTATATTATTCTCTTTTGCATTTTTTATATGGTAAATATTTACCATATAAAAAAAAACCATGTATAACTTTCTTACAAGTATAATATTGCATTCAAAAGCCATATTATTTTTTTTAATATAAATGTGTATCTGATTAATTTTAACATAAAAATATACTTTGAAATAGTTATATGAATCATCTTCTATATTTAAAAAATATGCTGAATATATAATATATAATATATTAATTATATTAATCATATCATAAATTTAATTCTATATTAAAAATAAATTACAATAAGTATTTTTCCAATTTTCCAAGAAAGATTAGATGAAGTTATTTGTGCCAAAACAAAAAAATTTAATTATATTTAAAAATTGTTTCATCTTTTATGCTATATATTATATACTATATGCATTAGCATATGCACTAGTTATCATGGACACTTTTATATACACTTTCGTATATAAATTATATACAATTCAATAATGTAATATTAAAATTATGTAATATTATAATTTTTTGCGAATAATATGAAAATCAAAGTCAATTATATATAAGAAAAAAGTTATTCAAAATTATGTTTTAAACAATATTATTCAACTTCACAAGCAAGTATATTTTTATATTTTATATATATATAATACAAAGTGTTAATATATTTTCTTGTGAGAAATTCTAGAAGCCAAAATTGAAAATTGTTATAAAAAAGTGTTAAAAGTGTCGGTTATTATTAAGTTAATTAATTAAAATTTGCAAAGTTTAAATGAAATAAAAAGAGAATGAGATCGCTTTGTTTCCATTACATTGTTGCAATCTATTCCCATCTTATTTCATTTAATGCAAAC